AAAATCTAGATAAGTATATAGTATATACATATGTATGTATTCTTGTATGCATAGGTGTAAATGTTTTTTTACAAAGTCTCCTTTGAAATACTCATATATTTAGATACATAGATACATATGTTTACATATACGAAAATATAAATACATATTTTTTAAAAAGTATGGCTATTTTTGTGTCAATTATGTAGAAGTACATATGTGCATACATATGCAAATATATGTATATACTGTATGTAAATATTTTTTTTAAACTCATATATATATGTATGTATACATATATTTTTATAAAAGACCAAAAGGTAATTTCTTCGAAAAAAATTTTAAAATCATAATTTTTTATGAAAATCTATCCGCAATATTCATTTTTAAAAAAGTCAAAACTCCCTCTCTTTTTAGTATAATTCTACAAATTCATTATTTGCCAATTATAACCTTAAAATATTCAGCAGTGATTTATTTAATGTTTTCGGTTCTTCAGTTCAATAAATTTATATAAATTCATAACGAATCAACATGCAGGGGCACTTGTCCATGGCTGCCGGATACACCATGCATGCATAACCAAAAATGTATACACATCTACACTAACATAGGAAACATATTTTTGTTTTTACGATCAGCTTCTCGGCGCTGTCACTACAAAAGCACACACCCACTCGCAACTGTCCTTAGTACCATATTCTATACTATAATACATTATTAGTATTTTTGTTTTCATATCGTAAAGTAATTATTGGCCCCCCACTTGAGGCTTCCGCAACATTCAGTCGGTGTAGACGTCAGTCACATGTTGCTTGTCATCGCACCGGTTCGCTACCGTCTCATTGCGTCTTTATTTTGTTCTGCCTTTTTTGCGGTAGCAATTTTATAGAAGACAGACTCATTTGGGTACGTATGTATGTATGCATGTATGTGTGTAAGTATATAAACGCTTACATATATATATATATGTATTTAAAACGAAGACTACAAGGAGATTCAGTTCTTTGACCCAAATTATGCGTTAAAATAAGATAAACCGAAAATAAAACGCACTCTTTGTCAATCTCAAACACACATACATACATACATACATACCAATTTACGTGCTGTTAGTCGATCTTTTCACGACAATCCTCCCTCACTTGGCTCCCTCCCCGTTACCCACTTTTCGGGCAATAAGCATTTTAATGCTTCTCTGTAAATCTACCTCCTGTCGTCGCGTTCGATTTGTTGTTCTTTTTTTCGACTTTGTTGCGTCTCAAGTATTCATGTCACATATTATTTTTAAATCGGCAACTTTTCCGTTTTTATTTCAGTTGGATATACGTACATACATATTTTTTATTTATTTTATTAAGATTTTGTTTTGTTTATCAGCATAAAATGGGCAGCGCGACGACGTATAGCTTCTTTCTTTTGACGCTTTGGACACATTAGAAGAAGCAGACAGATATGTACGTATGTATGTACATATTACATATTGTTGGCAGACAATTCCACCCAATTATGGGTTTGTCATTATTGTAATCCGCAAAATGAAAATTAACACATGTGTATGTATGAATACGAGTATGTGCTTGTGATTTGCATATATGTACATAGATATATATCTAAACTTGTACATTAGGGCGGTAAAACTAAACTTTTTCAATTCAATTTAAGACAAAAAATCGTCCGAAAAATTGCCAATAAATTCACTTAATATTTATTCGCTAAATGACGTTAGTCACTCGTTCAAATAGCAAACGAGTAGCCCTCAAGGTTGCATGGATGAATTTTAAGTTTTCACGAATTTTTTGCGTTTCATCATTTAAAAAAATTAAAATATTGTTAAAATTATATATATAGGTTTGCTTGTGTCATTACATATGTGTAAACCTACACAGACAAGCAACCATCGAAATATATGCATATGTATGAAAAGTCTATGAAGTGCTCTTTCGCTCACCATTCGATTTGCTGTGTAAAGTTTCCACGATATTTTATACATATGTACATACTATATAAACATTATTTCAGCAAGAACGAGAAAAAAGTACGCGAAATATACTTGCACATTATATCCAACGTACATATACTTTTTATTACAAATATGATTTTCGATTTTTCGATTTCCGAAAGACAACTTGGTTATGCCAAAGAAATAAAATTTTACCCACAAATACTGACCGGAATTTTTTTTTAAGCCACACTGTGGTTTCAAGGTAATTAATTTGGCAAATTGCATTTCAAAGCAATGCAGTGTTCGATTTCTTAGGTCAAAAATAAAAAGAAGAAAGTCTGAAATTTGTCAAGGTAGGTATATATGTATGAATGCACATATTTGTTTATCAAAACAATACAAACACGAGGACAGTACAGTGAATCGAGCTTTAATTTAAGGTAATCTTCTTAACAGATCTTTTTGCCATTTTGAAGCTACTGTCATTATGCCTATATCATAGAAACTCTGTTTCTATTGGGAAAAAATTGAGACAATTGATTTTCACAGACTTCATCAGCAGCCAAATCATTCGCCATAGAAACAGATGGTAATCACTTGATGCGAGTTCGGGATTAAAAGGTGGATGCATAAAAAGCTCCTAACCAAGCATCGGAACTTTTGGCGAGTAACTATCGTTGTGTGTGGTCAGGCGTTGTCCCGACGAAACACAAAGACACTCTAGTAGCCCAAAGCTAGGCACGTTTGAACGATTGCTTGTTTTAAAGAGACAAATTAAGAGTTTAGAGTGAAGCCGCTCATAGTGGATGATACCTTGTCAATCCCATCAAACATATTACATATTTCTGATATGAAATAAAAGCACCCCAGGAAATTCCATTAGGCGTTCCAAAGCGGCTTAAAATAAGCTGCAGGTACCTCCATTTGTTGGAAAAATATCAAGAAACATGGCAAAAGTTGGACGAGGAGGTCGGCCGAAAATCGCATCAGCGGTTACAAAGCTGCATATACATATGCAGAAGTATTCTTTCATTTGTCGATACACATAAGCGACAATTTTTTCATAAATTTATGAAAAACTCATCTAAGAGCCGGCAATTTGGAATCTGTACAGTTATTAGAAGAAGTATAAAATATAAACTCTTTTTCATACTTCCCCATACAAACCGATTTGTTCAAACATGAGCTTTTTGGTCAAAAATTCGTCCAACAAGCACCTAAGGGCCTAAAAATTTGCAGTCTACACACGTATAAAAATACAAATATAATATTTTCATCGAAAATTATCGAAATCGGATATATTCAAGCTTGATGTTTTTTGGCCATAAAATCCGTCCAAGAAGCATCTAAGAGCATGAAATTTGCTATTATGATACGTATATAAAAATAAATATTTCTGTTGAAAATCATCGAAATTGGAGGACGAGCAGAATTTTTAGGTAGCCCAATATTTACCACCATTTTATATTTTATTTATTTTCAGTTAAGATAAAAATGCTTTGAAATTTTGAAAAAATTAGTAAAGGAAATTCTAAATTACCTAAAATAGAATGAGTTAAGCAGCGATTAAAATAATCGATACTATATCTTGCTCATAAAAATATCGATAATTTCGACAATTGAGCGAATCATGGATTTCATCAGTCATTGTAGATTTACATAAGAGTAATTATAAATAATTGGTATGCATATTTATATAAAATATAAAAAAGTCGTAAATTTAAACAGTAATGTAGAACAGTTATTTATATTGATGAACGATAGTAAGAAATATAATCTTATAAATAATGAGTATAAATGTATTTTTTGAGCAGTTTTTTGCATTTTCATTTAAGAAAATACGACATAGCGTTAATAATTATGTATATATGTATGTATGTACATGCAGTGTAAGAAAAAAGTTTGTAAATAAAAATATATAAGAAAGAAATAGAAAAGCAGAAATGTACAAATGATAGTGGGTGTACATATGTACATGCGTGTACGAGGTGTGTTCAAAAAGTATCGCGAATTTTGAAATTTCACGGGTTACGTATACTCGAATTTCGATTTTTTTGTGGCGTTATGTTGGTACTCATGCCTCTCACTTATGCCGACAAGCTCGGCCATTTTGAATGTTCACTTAATTGTTGACAGCTGCTTTGCTTGCACGTGTTTTGGATGGTCTTCGATTTTTACCTATTCAAAAAAATGAATCAAAGAACCTGTATCAAATTTTGTGTGAAAAATGAAATTAAGTGCGCGGATGCATTCCGAATGTTGACTGTGGCATACGGAGAAGCTACCTTGGACCGAAGCAACGTTTATCGGTGGTACAAAATGTTCTCAAAAGGCCGAGAAGATGTGAACGACGAAGAGCGTGCCGGACGCCCAAGCACTTCAACAACAGACGAAAAAATTAATGAAGTGGAGAAAATGGTTATTGCCAATCGTCGAATCACCGTTAGAGAAGTTGCTGAGAACCATAACATATTGATTGGCTCGTGCCATTCGATTTTTATCAATAATTTGGGCATGAGACGGGTCGCCGCAAGATTCGTACCAAAATTGCTCAATTGCGACTAAAAACAGCATCGCATGAACATTGCTAAAGAGATGTTCGACTCAGTCCGCGACGACCCAAATCTGCTCCAGAGAGTCATAACTGGTAACGAGTCGTGGGTTTATGGTTATGATGTGAAGAGGCATATGAAAGGACGACGTTACGCTACGATTGATTGCTGAACAAGATAAAAAAATACTAATTTTTAAAGTGCTTCGAAGATTGGAAAAACCGTTGGCACAGGTGTAAAATATCTCATGGGGATAACCTTGAAGGGGACAAAATAGATATTCATGAATAAATAAATAATTTTTGAAAAAACACAAAATTCGCGATATTTTTTGAACACACCTCGTATGTATGTATGTCGTGAGCGCTTGCAGATATGTATGTGATAAAAGCAATGATGATTTTTAGCATTATAATGAATTTTTGTTGATTTTAAAATGCGTGCAAATGCGAAATATGTGTGTGTGTTCGAAATTGTGCGGCAGCCGTAAATGCAAATTATTTCTGAAACAATATTGTACTCACCATATTAACACAACCAACAGGAAAAGCACAGGAGCTGCGAAATACGGCAACAGTCTCTCCTTTGTTATTGAAATATTCAAAATATTTGCAAATTTCGATTTGACTGCTTGCATTTTGTATTTGTTGTAAGCTTTTTCAGCTCGTTTTTCGTAATTATTGTTAAATTTTCTTTTGTATTTGTTATATAAAAAGGAATTGAACGCTTATTTGTAATTGTACATATACATATACATATACACTACTGCAATTCTCTAAAGCACAACAATGTGGCGTTGTTTTTGTATTTATATACTCAGTTATTTATACTATTTATATACACGTAGTTGTAGTATAATAACATAACTGCAATTATTAAACATCACACACTTACATATGTACATATGTATGTATTTAAACTTTTTTGTATTTGTTTTTGGTTTGAAAAAAGAAAAATGATTTAGAAAATTTGTGGCAAAATTATTGTTTTGTATTATTTTTTCTTTTTCTTTTAAATAGTTTTGATGCACCAAATTCGTAGCACTTTGTCGATCAGCGCGATCTCATAATGATGCTTGCTATTTTGGCTCTGCTGACGAATCTCGCTGTGCGGATGTCACTTTCGTTTCTGAAGAGAAATTGAAAATTGTGAATGAAATTCAAAGTGAAACACACGATTTGAATAAAATAGACCACAACAAATGATATTATATGTATGTATGTATGTCTATGGATGAATGTGTGAATGTGTGAATGTATATATGTATGTATTATATATTTAAATACATAATAGAATGCAATGCCAAAGAAATAGAAAATAGAAAAAATTGCACAAAAAAAAAACAGCGAAACAACGGGATAATGGGTGAAAATGAATGATGATGAAAATTCGAATTTTCCTTGGACTAAATCTTTGCAAATATTATCAAACTTACAACAACAAAGCGTCGGAAATAACCAACGACAAATTACGTTTTTATAAACTGTACAAATTATATGTAGACTGCATTGCAGAGGTGTTGCTATAAAGGGCACCCAGTACATGCATACATATATACATATGGAAGTATGTATGCATTTTGCAGAGCAATTGGTCTGACGCGCACAAAATTTTAACAAAACAAGAAATCATCCTTTTTTCCACACAACTCGCATTTGCGGCTAAAATCTCGTGTTTTCTGTCATACATATATGTATGTCTATATACATACACACACATTTACGTACAGATTCACCAGCCAACTAAATTTATGTGTACTATTTTGAAAACAACGAAAAGAATAATTTTGGCATTTTACCAACCACGCAAAAATTATTCATGCATGTTTTTGTTTTTGGTTAAAATTGTTTTCCATTTTTGTAGCAAGAAATATTTAAACTAAATTAAAGAAGAATGTAAACAACTGTATATTTATTTATATGATATTATAAACACATAATACAAAAACAAAAAATAATAGAAATAAAAAAATGGAATAAGTAAATAAAAACAAAAAAAATAAATAAATTTAATTAAATAAACAAAGTAAAAAAAATAATAAAATAAAAAAAACAAAATTAAATAAATATGAAATAAAATAAAATAAATTAATTAAATTGAAATAAAATTAAATTAAATTAAATTAAATTAAAAATATTAATAAAATAAAAAGAAATTACTCAAAATAAAGTATTTCATTTTCCTTGAATTTTATCTTGTATTATTTCGATGGATTTGATTTGATTTTTTTTCATTTTATTTTATTTTATTTTATTTTATTTTATTTTATTTTATTTTATTTTATTTTATTTTATTTTATTTTATTTTATTTTATTTTATTTTATTTTTTATTTCTGTTTATTTTATGTTATATAATTTTTTTAAAATTTATTTCATATATTTTTATTTTATTTATTTCATTTTGTTTTTATTATTTTATATATAAATATATTTTATATAATATAATATATATATAATATTACAGATGAAAAATAAAGTCGAATAAAAGAAAAATAAAATGAAATATAAAAATGTTAGATAAAGTAAAATTAAATATAAAACAAATAGTGTAAAATAAAGTATTGAACAAGAAAAATTAATAAAAAAAATTAAAAAAAAAAAATCTGAAATAAAATGGAATAAAAAAGTAAATACAAAAAATTAATAAGATCAAGTAAAATAAAAATTAATAAAAAATTTAAACAAAATAAGATAAAGTAAAAAAATTAATATAATCAAATAGATGAAGTAAAATAAGCAAAAGTTAAATTAAATAAAATGTAGTAATAAGTAGAATAATAGAACTAAAGTAAAATAACATAAATTAAATTATTAATTAAAGAAGAAAAAATAAAATTAAAAATTAACAATATTAAATAATATACAATAAATAAGGTAAACAAATAAAATTAAATTAAATAAAAGTAATAAAAACATAGAAACATTAGATAAGTTAAAAAAATATAATAAACTTATATAAAATAAAATTAAACAAAATATAAAAAACCAAAAATAGTAAAATAAAATAAAATAAAATATAATATAATGAAATAAAGTAAAAAATAAGATAATGTAAAATAAAAGAAATATAATTAAGTTAAATAAATCAAATTATAAAATAAAATTATATTGGATGAGTGCATAAGTTCTTGCCCGATTCCGATGGATGCCGTTCGAATCGTTTGAGAGTGGCGCTCGTGAAAGAAATATATACATATTATATATCATTGGAAAGGTGACAGTCCGAACTGTAAATCAAGCATAAAATATCTTCATTTTGATTTGAGTTACTTAGTGAAAAGACGCATGGAATATGGACAACGAAAACGATCATATGCGTCATATTATGTCATACGAATTCCGCAAAGGAAAAATAGTAGGCGCTGCAACTAAAGATATTCGCGAAGTTTATTTGGACCGTGCTCCAGCACTCCGCACAGTAAAGAAATGGTTCGCGAAATTTCGTTCTGGAGATTTTAACCTCAAAGATCAACCTCGCAGTGGACGGCCTTCTGAGCTTGATGACGATGTTTCAACGGAAGAGGTTGCCAGTGAATTGAACGTCAACAAATCAACTGCGTTTCGTCGTTTAAAAAAGGTTGGGTACACTTTGAAGCTCGATACATGGCCAAACTGAAGAAGATGAATTGGGAAATCATGCCGCATCCCTTATATTCACCCGACATTGCACCTTCTGATTATCATTTGTTTCGATCGCTGCAGAACAATTTGAATGGAAAAAAATTTAAAAATGTGGAAGACGTCAAAAACCACCTTGACACCTTTTTCAACGAGAAACCGCGCGATTTCTATGAATCAGGCATCCGGAAATTGGTTGAACGTTGAAAGTGGAACATGATGGCGAAAACATAATTGATTAATCAAAGCGCTTTCTTCAAAAAAATTCATTTTTAGTTTGCACTTGAAATCGGGCACGAACTTATGCACTCATCCAATATAAAGTAAATAAAAAAGAATAAAATAAAACAAAGTATAAAAAAATAAAATAAAAATAATAAAGGAAAATGAAATACATTGAAGCGAAATAAAATTAAATGAAATAAAGCAAAAATAAAAATAAATAAAATATAGTTGAAAAAAAGAAATCTAAATATAATAAAGCAAAATAAAATTAAATCAGCTAATTCAAAATAATATTAAAAAAAATAAAATTTAATTAAAAAAGCCAAATAAAATAAGAATAAAATTAAATTAAAAAAGTAAAATACCAATAAAATAAAGCTAAATTAAGTATAAAATAAAATAAAAAAATACAATCTAAAAAAATACAATTAAATAAAATTAAATTATATTAAAACAAAATAAAATAAAAAAATTAAAAACTAAATAAAATACAAATAAATTAAATCAAAATCAAAATAAAATTAACTTATATAAATTCAAGTTAATTAAAACAAAATATAATAAAATAAAAGAAAATTAAAAATAGCAAAGTATAATAATAGAATAAAATAAAATAATTAAACAAAATAAAAAAAATTATAATTTAATTTCAAAAAAAATAAATAAACAAAACAAAACAAATAGAATAAAAATATAAAAATACAAGCTTAGCTATATAGCAATATTTTACTTTTTTCAACTGACAATTTAACCTTTAGTATTTAAATTTTAACCGCAAAGCTTAAAGAAATTCAATATTAAATCACCTTTTTGGAATAATTTACGCAAATCCTTACTAAGTAATTTTGATTTTTATTGAATTGTTTCGAAAATAAACATACTTAGTTATAGCACATAATTATTATTTAAAAGCTCCTCCCGAATATGTCTAGCTATGCAACTGCGCTGAGTCATATACAAACATACATACACTTACAAAAATTGCGATTGAATGAATGACAGTTTGGCGGTAAAATGTATATATGTATCTACAATAATATCCATATGCAAGTATTAATGTATGTATGTACATACATCTGTTTGCTGCTAAAGAAAGGACACACAATTTTCGTCAAAACCAGCTGCGCATACATTGACATAGCATGTATGTACATATATGATGTTGATTAAAATCACTTCAATAATGTAAGGACATATATATCTATGTGTATATATATATATGAACACAATAAGGATATTTGCAACCAAATGTTCCGCCATTTTGGCGGTAAATTCATGTAGTACATGCCGCACTAACATTGAAAATCATTTGGAACCACTGTGTACATACATGAAACATACATATTTAAGATAGCTGAAGATCATAAATTAAAATATGAAAACATTGTATTTTCATATATGTACATATGCAGATAATATTTCCCAAAAAAAAGAAAGCAAACAGCAAACTAAAAAACACTCTGATAGAGATTTTCACAACTGATAATGAGCTGCGAAACATCTGGAATACAATCTCAGAGTTCACGTGGCAACAAACACTGACAAATGCATACGCTTTTCCTTCCATCCTTCTTCGTCAATTCTTTTTATGTGAAGTAGTGAAATGAAATTTTAGACTTTTCACGTTTTCACTTTCAACAATTTTTTTTTTGTTAAAAAATATTTGAAAATATTTTCACACAATGAAAACAAATTTGAAATTAACTAAATTCTTTTCGCTACCACTGTTAATGAAAAAAAGTTCTTTCATGTTTTCCTTCGACTTTCGATTTACTTTGAACTCAGGTCCAACTTAAAAGTTATCGGGGAATATTTTTTTTATTCTACAAAGATGAAAAGATTTTTGTTTTTGAAATTAAAACTCACTTCGAAATATTTTCACATGATAAAAAGGAAACGAAAACACTTTTTTTGTCCAAGCTAAAAAAAACAAAAAAAATTATTCCGGGAAAATTTTTCTTCTACTGTAAAGCGATGAAGTGAAAAGGTTTTTACATGTTTTCATTTGACTTTGGAATCGCATTGAAATTGAAACTCACTTCAAATTATTCTCTCAAGAAATAAAAAAGGAACATAAGAAACTTTTCACTTTTTCACCAGTCTAATGATGACGTGAAACAATGAAATTATTTTTATGCCTGACAATCTTAAAAAAGAAATACTCCGGAAAAATTTGCTTTTGTTTTTTTGTTAAGTTTTTTTTCACGTTTTCAGTTAACATTCGAATCGCTATGGAATTAAAACTAACTCAAAATAGTTCTCACAACTTTCACAAGTGAAATGAAAAACAACTTTTTACTTTTCCATCATTTTAAAGATGCTTTTGAAAGAATGAAATTATTTCTATGCCTAAAATTACAAAAAAAAAAAAAAAAAAAAAAATCTGGGAATATATTTTTTTATGAAAAGCGGTGAAGTGAAATATATTTTTCATGCTTCCATTTGACTTTCGTCTTCGCTTTGCACCTCAGTTATTTTTTGTTATTTAAAGCGTTTTTCACCTCACTTTATCACAGTGCAGATATTGATTGGTTGACCAGTTTCCATGGCAAAGTTTTATACAAAAACGCACTTCTTTTAGTTTACTGCACCGGTCAGCTGATCGAACACATGTTTTTATGTGCATGTACATACATATGTACACACTTACTTATGTACATAATGCAACACTGCAGGTACACGATGCATAAAATAGGTAAGTAAATGCTTAGGATTAGCGCTTGAACAGCTGAAAAGGAACAGCCTAACCCAAAATTTGTTACAAGTTTCTACCTGTGCAAGAATTACAGAGATTTCTTATACATATGCAATGAAATCGATGTTCCAGGTATCGATTAATGAGGAAAACTCAAACTCACATTACTTTATTTTTGTGTTTTCTTATTACCACAATTTTTGGAGGCAAAAAAAAAAATATTGTGTTACATGAGTATAGAAATATAGATGTCTTATTTCTATTTATTCATTGGTCTATACACACAGGTATATGCATGTATGCATATATAAATATAAGTGTATGTACCTAGTATTTAGAAAAGTTGTTTGGCCTTCGTTGTTGTTTGTGGCTATTGCGTCGTAGGCCATTGAAAAACATTAATATTTGGACAACTTTATTGCTTATTGTATTATGTTGTTTGTGTTTTTAATAATGTGCAATAGCTTTGTGCATTTCTGTGATATATTTTCAAAATAACTTTTATTATTCACTTACTTAGTACGTATGTATGTATGTATGTACATAGACATGTGCATAATCCATGAACGCCATTGGGAAACGTCCAGGTAGAAGTAAATGCAAATAAGTGTATACACATATGTATGTATATACATATGTACGCACAAAGCCTTACAGCCACTAAAGGTGTAAGGTGAACCTCGTTGTAAACAAAAGAAAGGGCAAGACTATATCGACTATAGACGATTGCATTAAAATATCAAATACGTACTTGCATGTAGATATGTATGTACACCAAGCGCAAAATTACACTTATATTACATAAAAGACATACTTTAGAAAGTATTTACTTTTTCAGAATTTTTTTTGTGAATTAAAGCCGAGTTATTTTTGTACACGTTTTTTTTTGTTTTTTTTTTTTTGCATAAAGAATATCACTTTTGTATGTCTGTACTTAGATACACACAACACACACACACTTATGTATGTATGTATGCACATATTCTTTGTTCATTTTACATTTGCAAAGTGAAAAGTCATAATTTTCGCAAGCAATGCCAAAAAAGATGTCGCACTTTCTTCCAGAGCGTCATTGAAATGTACATACTTTTGTATGTATATATGTATGTACATATGGATACAGAAGAAACTGCGTTAAATTTATTTATTTATATTCCCTTAATTTGCGCATTTAGCACAGCACAGAGCACAGAAGAAATTGCGTCAAAACGCAATATCTGTAAGATGGAGCCACCGGAATGATTTGCCCATACATTCGTAGCGGGGGAGTTGAACACGAAAACATTGCAGTAGCCCGGAACGCGCACAGCATGTACTACTACTAAATGGCCTTCATGAAGAGACGTTTTCGCTTTTAACAACCAAACCAAAGAAAAAATATATTGCAAATTTCTCTATATGATATATGTATTGAAAAGCTGTAAGATGTATTTTTATAAAAAAAAAAAAAGTCATATATCACTCACCGTTAAGGCTGCAACTACCCAACTCACTCTCCAGCCGTCCATAAGTGTCGACGTCGAGGCGAGATAAACACACGAGTTATCGACGCCGCTGAGAGCGGAGAAATGGCCTGTGTGTTTGCACACTTTTGAACAAATTCATAATTTTCGTCAACGAATTTCATAATTTATTTGCTTTAACATAAACACAAGGCAAATATACATGATCTATATAGTAACAAATAATTAGTTACGCATTTAGTTTTCATTTCTTTTGAACAAAACTACGCATTATCTTCGATTATTTAATGTTACTTTAAGAAAGGCTATACTGGCAACCTTGTATAGCAACGAAAAATGAGCCGAGCCGGTTTTACGGAAAAATCAAAACTTCGTTGGTTTCTGCGACACAAACGTCAGCAACGCTATGGTAAATCGGTGACAACTTTGTGTTTACATGGCGCTCTCATAAGATAGGTTACTATGGACGGCTGGTACGCTCGTTGGGTAGTTGCAGCCTAAGACTTGAACTGAACGCACCAAATTAAGAACCAAATTTTTTTTATTACTCAAATATTTATTTATTTATCTTTAAACCGCACAGTTCGAAAATCGAATAGCAACTAAATTGACCATGATGATTTCGCTTGGATTTTCACTTGTCCGTTTTCATGTATCTGCGTATCTGCGCGATACATTTTGCAGTGTTGTTATTTTTCATTGTGTTTTGTTTTTCTTGTTTAGCTATTTTGTATCTTCTATTCAAATTCGTATGAGTGAGAGAAAAAGAATAATGCAACAGCCGGTGTGAAATTCGCATGGTTGTATTTTCACTTAAACTTAAACTAAGGCCTCGTCTACACTACTGGGCTCAGAGGTTTCGTTAATTATAACTTTAACATGTACAAAACAAGGACAAGGTTATTTGGGGTTTTTGAGGCTAGTGCCATCAGTTATTTGGGGTGTTTGCGGCAAGTGGCATCAATAATAAACCTGAAACGCCAATTATCTCGATTCCAACGTAAAAAAAATAAATGAAAATAAGTAATACAAATTGTATGCCCTTGAACTATTGCAGATTGTGCTACGTTTTTAATCCTTGTGTGGATCTAAGTTTAAGTATTTCTCATATTTATAAGTTATTACAATATTTATATAGAAAGCCAACCATATATATTATTCATACAAATATTCATTTATCAAATAATATGTATATAATTGAACAGTTCCATAATTCAAAAATTATTGTTTAACAGTTAAGCCGCCTAGAAATTATTTTTCCCCACATGCCGAGGAATTTGTCATCATTTCACTAGGGGACGTTTTATCAGCACTAAAAATCATGCCGTTTTCTAACTTCTTAACTTCATCATTCTCTTCTAAATGTTTTTCAGTTGTTTCATCTAAATTGAGTTTCGGTTTAGCACCTTTTCTTTCAGGTAATGTTTCCATTATTGCATCGGTCCACGGCTGTCCTTCAGCCACACGCATGAGGATTTCAAAAACTGTAATTATATTTTTAAAATTATTTCTTCTTCAGAAATATAATATGCAATGCGATAAACATACCGTGGAAAGTGCTCAGCACTGCACGTGTTTTCATATTAACATGCTCACTTAATGGTAATCGCGCAGTACGTAAACCATTTTCCGTTGCACGTTGATGACACAATCCTTTATGATGGTTATGATCCACTAAACCACCAATCACGTAGGTTATGCCATTTTCAAGGCGATCCAAAACATTGTTCGATTCACAGGTAAGGTAGACTAAATTTTGCTTTGGAAATATATCCAAATGCGTTTTGTCAAAATGATAATTTAAATGCCAATTCTCCCATCCATCATTTCGCTTAAGACTTGTATGTATGCGTCCATCGGTTTTAATACCTGTTATGTCCAGTTGCCCGGGGCATTTGGAACGTCGATTTATTGTATAAATACGTAAGCATTGTTTTATACATTTGGCCACGTCGCGATCATGCATCAAATCATCATAGTCCAGATCAATGGCGACACTTAATTTTTCCGATTGCTGTCCATAGCCTGTAAGTTGTCTTTTCTTTAATTCTTTGCGTGAGGGTCCATTTCGTGTGGGTAAGCCAAGTGCCTGCGCCTCAAGACGTTTTTGTTTTTGTTTTTCACGCTCCTTCTGTCGACGTACTTTTTTCAGCTCTTCATATTTCTCCAATCTCTTTTGTTTCTTTAATTGGTTTTTGCTCAAGGGATTTGGTGGTGTTTCTCCAGGTCCTGGTAATTTTGATTGCTTTCCTATCTGTTCAACGACCTTGTCATCCTCAATTTTTGGGATTTTCGTTTGCGGTTCGAGAATTTCTTCTGGCATTATTGTTATTTTTATATTTTATTTTTGTTTATTTCTTTACCATCCGCGTGCGTCATCAGCTGATTGGATGGTAATGTGGAACTCAAGGGCCGAAATCAATAACAGATGTGTTACATGTTGATGTAATGAAACCGAGTACTAGACTATACAGTTATTTATTTATCAGTATCCTTTCAATTGTTTAGTTTGAGAATTGTTTCAATTACTGTATAAAAGCGAGCTTCATGTTCTATCCAATTTGCCTAGTTTATAAACAAAAAAATAATCTTGAAAAAAACACATTTTAATTAAAAACAACAGTACAGCTTGACACTTGTTTCTGTATATTATATGGATTGTACTTAAAATTATTTGGAGTCTTTTGTAACATTATCGCTTAAGTATTCCATCCCAATAACTAAGGGTATTTTATGCCTTTCTCGACTCCATCCTACCTTCATGTAGCCAAAAATAATAATATATCTACATAATTTCTTTCAAATAAGTTGAACTATGAAAAAAATTATTATTTTTACAATTTTTTGTTCAATTTTGAATTTTGTTGATACAACCCTGATTCTTCCACCGTACAAAAAACAAAAAAGCCGAGCGTGCGTCGTTTTGCTTCGAAGCAAATGTCAAATAATTCGAAACCTTAATTAACGGCAGTTGCGTTTTTTTTTTGTCTTTAACATAAAATTTTCTAAACGGTAGATTTCTTTACGAAATTTTCTAACTATCCGAAAAATTATCATGACAAATAGATTATGTTAATTTTGGAAGCTTTCATTGTTACTTCGTTATCGCTAAAAAGAGTAGTTATAAATAAACACAGAGAAGACGTGTACTGAGAGCGAATCTGTGGTCGACTGTAACATTTCAAAAATAAAAGTACGCGGCAAAGCAACGATTAATGATTTTTTTTTCCAAAATATATCAACAAAAATATAAGATTTGGAAATTTACCAGTTATTATATGTATATTCGTTCTACAATTTGTCATTGATGTTGTGCTGTGGTTTTGTGAAGAAATAAATCAAAATTTTCTTATAATAGAAATTCAAAGTGTGCCTAGAAAGCGACAAAAGGAGATATAGAATTAGATAAAGGAAGGAGCAAAATACACACACTTTGCTAAAATGGATGTGCGAAATTGGAAAAAAGTTCTACTACATTGGGTAAGTATTAAATTCAATAATCAAATAGAATAAGAAGAGAAACTCATCTCATCTTTGTGATTTGTCATGTGTTTATAATAAATCGTATATGTTTTGATAGGTAACAGAATGCGGGTTTGCTGCTTGCAACTACTTTAGTTTGGAACAAACAGATATTGAAGAATTCTATTCAAACTTTCGTTTAAATCATACTTTACTACAAAGGTCTGATTCAATTAACAACGTAATTGCTTTCTTAAGAGGTGGGTACCGCTCAAATAAAACTTCATTCATTAATAATTACTTAATTCGAAATACCATTCCAATTTCAGAACAATATGCAGATTATTCTCCCATACTTGACGATGAAAAAACAATTAACTCAACAGAGTATATCTATATTTACTCGCTTTTCTTACATTTTTCTTGTGTAAAGTATCCAGAAACTAATTTCCATGACATCTGTAAAAGATTGTCAGTTAACAATCAACGTAATATAGCAGCTTTTTTCAACGAGTTGCTGGATTGTCAGTCTATTGATCGTGAAAAATTACGGCACGCTATTGCTGGTACAACGTTGAAGAGCACTAATTCTTCCGGTTCAGCCAGTGATAGCCATTCGAGTAGCAATAATTCGACTGGCAATAGTAATAATTTTTCAACTTCTACCTTCCCCCGGCTGGACTCGCCAAGTCGAACCTCACGCTATGCCCCAGGCAATAGCAGTCCACGTATTGTACCGCCAACACCAAAATCTGCAATGTTGGAGGAGCGAACACGAGAGCTCTATAATTTGCGAGTAAGTTATTAAAAATCGGTTGTTTTAATATGTATATTAACTCATTTAAAAATCATCAAAACATATTTAGGCACAACTTGAGACAGAGAGGTACGAGAAGGGCCTGCTGGAGGTTCAAATAAAACAAAACGAGGAGAAGATGAAAAAATTAAGTGCGTAATTGATTTTTTTATATTTATGTTAAAATATTAAAACCTATTATTTTAGATCAAGATCATAAGAAACTACAACAAACTATCCAAGACCTGAAAAATGATATACTCACTCAAACAGCGGAAAGTAGTTCTCCGAAATGTAAAGACGGTGAACAGGTGAGTGATGTAGAATGTGCTAAGAAGTTATTTTAATTTATTATTAATTTAAATCTTATTTTTATTTAATTTTCTTGACTCAATATTTTAGATAAAGCGTAGATTATGCAAAGAAGTAGCACAAAAAGAGGCAGAGGTTGCAAAGCTCAACGACTTGTTGGGAAATTTGCGTGAGGAGAAAAATCTGGTACAAGAAAAGGTTTGTTGTATGGATATATTTTCTTATGTGTACTATTAGTAATGTAGATTTTTCTATTGAATCTAGCTTCATTGTGCGGATAAACGAATAAGGATTTTCAGCGACCGTATAAAGGAGCTGGAGTTTAGAGTTGATGAGCTTACCGCTGAATTAGAGGTATTTCAAATAAATATTTACAAATTGTAATTAAAGGCATTACTATATTTCTTTAATTCAACAGCGAAAAGAGCACATGATTCAATGCCTAACTGAAAGTAAATTGGAGTTGGAACAATTTATAAACGAAACGCGTTCAGCAGGAAATAATTCCCGACCTGATTATTTTGATAATTCTTTTTCCCCATTAACTGATAACAGTGCGAGTTCAAGCAGTCCAGAAAATCTTGCTCGCTCAGTTGTCGATGTACAACTGCGCGAGAAGGAACATGAAAATACCGAATTACGCGAAGAGCTACACACTTTAAGAAACAATAATAAACGTTTGGCTGAGTTAATACGAAAATTTACAATAAAACACGCACATGAGTTTAACATTGTTACAAGGATCGGTCTAAATGCGACAAAAGAGGATGAAAATAGAGAAGTTACGCCAGGCGAATGTTTAGATCATTTGGTCGACTATGTCGATCAATTGGGCTCATATTACAAGGATGAAAGATGTAGGGTAAAAACTTTACAATCCGAGCTACAGTCTAAGCAAAGGCGTAATGATGAGCTCAGTCGGGGCTTAATGGATTTCGAAAAAGAGGTGACGGCGCTTAAAGAACAATTAGAGGGTGTGGATAATTTGAATATCGAATTGGAACAAGACAAAAAACGCATGCAAGATAAGATAATGCGTTGTGAACAAGAGCTTGTAAAGATTAACGCGCAGAAATTCGAATTAGTCGGTAAGCTTGAGAGTCTTGCCAATGATTATGATTTATATAAGCAGAAATGTGTCGCACAGCGCCACGAACATACTACACAAATCAAAAATTTGGAAAATGAAATTTCGGGCCATGAGAAAGTCAATACAGCACTTCGGAAAGGAAATGAGGACTTGAATGAAGAAGTAGCAAGTTTGCGAAAAAAGATCGAAACATTACAGCAGGATCTGCACAAGAGCACGGATGAGATCAAGACATTGAATGAACGTGTGGAAAAGTATCAAAATGAGTTGGATGCGCATGATAAAACTGAAAAAATGCTGAAGGAAAAATATGAAAAGATACTCGTACAATATGAGACCACCAAGCGTGACCGACGGGAGACAGCCGATCATTTGGAGGCGATGAGGAATAAAATCGCCGTAAAAGAATTCGAAATGGGTAAACTTGGCGTTGAGATAATTGAAGTGCGTAAGAAGAATGCGGAATTAGAATCGCGCATCGACACCGTTATGACGGAGTTCAAAACAGAAAAGCATAACTATGAATTGGCAATAAATACACGTGATGAACGCATACGCAAAATTACCGAAGAACGTAAAGCATTGGAGGAGAGTATCAGTAAGCTGAAAAATGAAAATGAGCTATTGCAAAAAGATTTGAACGAAACGAAAGATGAGCTTAATGCTGCGCTTAATACCTTCAATGCGCTAAATATGCTATTATGTGGTGCGGTATCAGATGACTCAAAGAACTTGGCAACCAAACTTGGAGATGTCTTAGCCAATAATAAACAGTTACAGGAAGATAAACTGGAGCTCAATAATAAATTAGAGCTAATGACCTTCAACCGTAATGAAACGGTTACAAAAATGGAAGTTGTAGAAGAAGAAATTAAAAATCTGCTCAAAGCCAAAGAAGAACTAGAAGCCAGTTCTAAAACACTACTTGAAGAGAGTGAAAAGAAATTGAAAACCGCTGAGGATAAAATAAAAACATACGAAGAAGATATATTTGGCTTGAAAGAAGCAATCAAGCAAGTCACGGACGAGATGCAGAATGCTTTACAAGTCAACAAGGAAGATAATGCCGTGCGGATAATGGAACTTGGCGTTGAGCATGATCGAATTGTAAGCGCGCTCAAGGAAGAACTTGCCGCAACGAAAGAGGATTTAAATCTGAAAGAGAATAGCCTGAAAATGCTCACAGAAGAGAGCACCGAAGTGAAGAAGAAGCTTGAAGAAAGCATACAACGTTTGGAAAAAGTGAAAAACGAAGAGCTACAGATTAGCAAAAACAGCGCAGAGAAACTTAAATCTCTGGAAAATGAAATGATAAAGGTTGTGAACGAAAATAAAGACCTACTACTGGAAATTGACACCTTCAAAGCGGAACACGCCAAAGTAAATAAGAAAATCGAAGAAGCTGACAGCGCTTTAAATCAACTTAATGGACAGCTATTAGAAGAAGTCAATTCTAAATGTGAATTAAGTGAGAAACTGCAGGCAAGTGAATCACGTTTATTTGAAACCGAACAAAAGCTCGAGAGTATACTCCAAGAGAAATCACATACGATTGGTGGTCTGAAAACTGCATACGAAAGCCAAACAACAGTACTGAAACGCGCCGAAAGTCAAGTGAATGCATTGGAAAAGGCGAAGCTAAAACAATCGCAGCAAATTGCCACACTGCAACAGAATTTACAGAAAGCCGTTGAAGAAAAGGATCGTTTAAGCAAAGATGTGGCTTCCTACACCTCACAATTACAGCGCGAGCAAGAAGAGAAGTCAGCTTTATTAACTTCTCTGGAGCAAACGGCCAATCAATTGAAGTTGGCAATCTGTGAAAAGGATCAAAACGCGAAGGTATTGGAAAAAAGCTATGCTGAACTCAACACACAAATCAGAGATGCCAATGAGCTGTGTGCCAAATTGCAAACTGATATCTCAGCACGGGATGCACAACTACAACGGCTGCAAGAAGAGCAGGAGCATGAGCGTGACAATTGGCAGACAAAACTATCCGAGATGACGCGCATGTTGGCCGAGCAATCGATAGAACTAGAAAATAATGACATCGCTTTGCAGCAGATCATCAAAGAGATTGAGAATCACTGCAATCTGACTGTTGAAACCGAGAAATCGGTAATCGATGATATTATCAAGACGTCCGATAATGAAGAGGACACACATTTGGGTAAATTAAAACACATACTCAACCGGCTGTTGCATAATATCGCAAAAATGCATACACAACTCGACCAAATCGAACAAAAACGCCAAGGCGCTGTTGAAGTGTTGGAAAAGGCCAACGATAAGCTGAATAATCAACTTCTTGCACGTAATGCCGAAATCACCGAACTGCAACAACAACTCATCGGTGAACGTAAGCAAAATGCAGTCACAGAGCATTTGAAGAAGGCGCTAAGCGATCTCAAATGCTCCAATGAAGAGCTGAAAGCGCAAGTTTTGCAGCTAGAACATGATTGCAGCGCTGTCGGAGAGCAATATCAGATTGCCACCACGGCATTGGAACGTTTGGAGCAAGAAAAACAAGAGCTTAAAATCGAACTGCAACGCGCCAATGAGAATGTGTCACGTTTAATACAAGGCAGTGATGCGCTACGGCTGGAGAAAGATGCGCTCATTGAACAATTGCAAGAGTTGCGTCAACAGCTCACACAAACCAGTGCACAACATAGTTCCACGGAGTCGATGGTAAAGAATATCTTGCAAAATTCTAAAACATTGGAACATAAACTGGATTCCACAGAGAATGAGTTGAGATTGCTACGCGCGCAGCTGCAAACACTTGAGAGCAAGAAAGAGGAACTACTTGCGGATAACTTCAAATTGCGTGAAACGCAGGAAGCGAGTCAGAAGCGCATTGAAAAAATGGCCGTAAAGTTGGGTGACACACAGGCGCGTTGCTCTAAGAGTGAGCATGAAAATGAGAAGCTCAACGAAACGTTAAAAACGTCCAAGGTCAGCTTGGAAAGATTGCAACGTGAAAAGAGTACGCTGGAGAAAGACCAGCAGGCCTTGCAAGAACGTTTAACCACCACCGAACACAATCAACAACAACTGCTGAGTAAAGTACATCAATTGGAGCAGATGAAGCTCAAATACGAGGCTGAGAAAAAGCAGTTAGAAGCCTCTGAGGCAGATGCTAAAACCAAATTGACAAAACTCGAGAAAATACGTCAAACGAATGAGGAGAAAATACGAAAGTTGAACTATTCCTTAGAGACGACCGAAGCGAGCAATGTGCGTTTGAATCACGAAATCGGTGCAATCAATTCGGAGCTCAACAAATTGCGCAATTCCATTACCGCCGACAACATACACACAGCCGAACGCTTGGAGGCAGCCATACAAGAACGTGACAAAGCGCTGGCTCGTGCCGCCGAATACGAAGCGCTTGCACATAAGCTACAAGCCGATGCTGATAATTTGCAAGAGCAGAATTCAAATATAAACGATCAATTGTCCAAAATTAGACTCTCGCTACAGATAACACAGGAGAAATGTGAGAAAATGTCACAGCAAATGCGCGATCTGGAGATTGATATGTGTGCGCTGAAGGAGGAGAAAGCGCAAATTGAGAATGAGCATTTGAATACGTGTGCCAAGTTGAAGGAGTATGAAATACAAAATGATAATATGCGTGCGGAGCGGGAAGAGAAAGTCGTCATACTCGAAGCGCAGCTGGAACAAATCCGTAAAGAGTTATGCACCAAAACGGAGGAGATTGCTGTGCTTCAAGCTGAACGCGACACTTTACGTAACGGCAATAAGGTGGAAGATGAAGAGCTCGAACAATTGCGTAAGCGTTTGACCATAGCGGAAACGATGGTGGAGTCGGAACAGAAGTCCAATGCGCAATTGCGTTTGGATAATCAAATTTTACAAGCCAAATATCGTGAATCCAAACAACGTCTGCAGGAACAAGCTGAAGAGAGTGAGAAGCGCGTCAAGGAGAATCGTTTAGAGATGGAGGGTAAATTGGAGAAAATGAAGAACAAAATGGTAAGCAAACGAACAGAATACCCAACTTTATTTATGTAATTTATACTATGTGTTGTAGTGTGTTTTATGTAAGCGTAGTCAAACATTGTCCTTTCGTAGCTCAGCTTTACCCGGTTGTAGGGACATCACACTGTCAAAGTTAAGTGTTGGAAGGAGTTTTTCTAAAACTTTGTTGCTCTTGGTTTATTCATGTTATTCCGTCTGTTGCAATTCAAATAACTTTGTCTTGTATTATATATGTACATTTATATGTGATTTGTTGTTGGTTGAAGAAAGAAATATTTGGAAGAAAGCATCATTCTCCGTTGAAAGTGGTATATGAAAAGAGTGACAGGATGAATGCTTGAAGATTGGCTGCGGCAGTATCATGCCGCCAGACGTTGCGGATTGCTCTCATTCTACACACTGGTGTTGACCCGGATTGTATCCGGCCAAAGCTGCCACCCTTTTGGCGACCTAACCCCCGGAGGTCAGCAGGTAATATTAGTGTAAGTAAGGTAATCAACGGAGCAAAACCTCACAGCTATGCTGGCGTCGAAACCAACCCCAGTCCGGCGAATTATTTCGGCTGCATGCGCCACAAATGACTCCACCATTTCGGTTAGATGCAACCAGTGCAATCGCTGGAGTCATCTTAAGGTTTGCTGTTTTACTTCTTATATCATAAGTAGTCTCCCTGATCTCATATACCAAAAGCTGCTCGATGTTGTTTTTGTTGTTGTTGTTGGTGTGGTTCGCAAACCCCACTTAAAAGCTGGAGGGACTAGGCTAAGTCGGTGAGGTCATCTAATGGAAGGTCGACGGACGAGAGATCAGAGAGAAAAGGGACGTGATGAGTCGGTTTTGGTAGCATGCCAAGAGGTCTCATTGCATGCATCATCTACGTTAGGTATGTCGGAGTCAAGTCTTGATATGTAGGGATTAAATCGATTACATTATCAAGATCTCAATTGTACCAGTATTACTTGAGTGTCTGCAATAATTGGTGCTTGGATTCCGAGAACGCCATACACTGGAAAGAGTTCATAAAGGTGTTAGCAGTTTAGCGGGTCTCTCGTGTCAGCTCGAGCTTTTTGTCTGCATCAGTGGAAGAGAGTTCATGTATGGTCATCTGTTCAGCGGTTCTTACATACGAAGCACAATAGAGTATGTATAGTCGAGAGTTCATAGGCGAAACTTCCGTCTCAAGTGCCTGTTTTGGTGCTCCCCACGGTATCATCCCAGTTGATATTGCTTGCACAGCCTTACATTTTGTTCCTTAACTCCGTAGCATAGATTTTACAATGTGCAAGTGATGCTACGGTGACATCAGGAGATTTCCTTACACAGTCCTAGAAACTACACTATCTGGGTGTCTATCCGCGATATTGATAACCTACATATGTCAAGTGGGTACTTCTGAGCTTGGTCCGAACCCATCGGAAAACATCTTTTTTGAACCTCCCTGTTAAAAGACTTCGATGGCAACGGCTTTTAAACTGAATGTAACAAATATCTGCAACAGCAATATTCGTTACCTTCATTAGTGCTCAAAGATTTTGGAGGTTGTTTCTAAAAACAGCTTAGTTCATCACGTGATTCGTTAAATTTTTATACCTTTTATGAACATGGAATGGTATTGTAACTTTGTTCCGAAGTATTTGGGCGCCAGTGAGGAGAGAGGCCAATCAAAATTTATATCAGATATGTGATTTTCAAAAACTCCTCAAAGAAGCATACTGAACGGGAAATTTGGTCTTTTATACATTTGCCTGTAACTAAAAATTGTCTCCTAAAATCATCGATATATCCAATACAACCGATTTATTCAGATATGAGAACTTGATAAGTTCATGAGAGGTATAATAAAGACTTCGGTCGTAGACAGCACTTATTTCTTGATTTCTGTTAAATTAACCGTCATCCTAAATGTAGGCAACGTTTTAAGTAAAACAATATCTTGATTACGGCGTTTATTTTAGCGAAGTTTCCCACTTTAAGTGATAAGACTTAAACTATTAACGGTCGCAAATATTTATAATTAATAATAATTAGTAGAATGTTTCAACGTTTTTTTCATTGAAGGAAATTCTTTATTCGAAAGCCTTTCTAAAAAGTAGTAAAAGTATGCAAGTCTGAATTCAAATATTTCTAATTTATGTAAATTGCAATAGATGGAGTTAGTAGACCAAAGAGAAAAATTTCAGACAAAACTTTGTTTTGAGTTTAGGTATTTTTTTTTTTTTGTTTTATCCAACGTTCAAGCGGCACACGTAGTGTGATTTACTAATGGAAGGCGATTTTAGAGATTTTTGCGTTAAATTTCGTAAAATTTTTAATAAAAGTGTCTAAAAGAAAGAAAAAATCCACTTTAGTGTCTTCAAATGTCAAAGTTTATGGAAAGAGGTTTGGAATTTTAAATTGCAAATTTAATTTTTACGCAAAAAATTTTTTTTAACTTTTTTCAATTAAATTTTGTAGAAAATACCAACAAAAATTTATGAAATCTTTAAAAATATATTTTTATAAGACTTTAAGCTGGGTATGCCCCTTAAAAACGCATGCACATATTATTATCATTTTAATTTTTAGTTTCATACAGAAAATTTGATGAATGAATTAATTAAAAGTTTACGATCACACTTCCACTCATTCAAACATTTATCAGCATTGCAAGCTTCTGTTAAACTATTATGATTTGATTTTCTCATCATTAAACATCATACAAAACCACGCCAACGCAGAAAGCTACATTTTTGACAATCAATTGTTTTTTTACATCTTTGAAAACTCACCTTTTTTACAATCAATATTATTTATTTTTTGAAAACTCATCTTTTTTACAATCAATTGTTTTTTTACTTTTGAAAACCAACCTTTTTTAAATCAAATTTTTTTACATCTATGAAAATTCACCTTTTTTACATTCAATTTTTTTAATTTTTAATTTTTTTTTATTTATTTATTTATTTTTTTTGAAAACTCACCTTTTTTGCAATGAATTGTTTTTTTACATCTTTGAAAACTCACCTTTTTTACAATGAATTGATTTTTTTTTTAATCTTCAAAACTCACCTTTTTTACATAAAGTTTTTTTTACATCTTTTAAAACTCACCTTTTTTTACATTAAATTTTTTACATCTTTTAAAACTCACCTTTTTTACAATCATTTATATTTGTTTTAACTCTCCTTTTTTACAATGAGTTGTTATTTTACATCTTTCAAAACTCACCTTTTTTACATTCAATTTTTTTTTGTTTTTTTTTGAAAACTCATCTTTTTTACAATCAATTGTTTTTTTACTTTTGAAAACCAACCTTTTTTAAATAAAATTTTTTTACATCTATGAAAATTCACCTTTTTTACATTTAATTTTTTTTGAACTCACCTTTTTACAATGAATTGTTTTTTACATCTTTGAAAACTCACCTTTTTTACATTCATTTTTTTTAAACTCACCTTTTTTACAATGAGTTGTTATTTTACATCTTTCAAAACTCACCTTTTTTACATTCAACTTTTTTTTTGAAAACTCACCTTTTTTACAATGAATTGTTTTTTTACATCTTTGAAAACCCACCTTTTTTACATAATTTTGTTTTTATTTTTTTAAAATTCACCTTTTCTACATTCAATTTTTTTTTTTTGAAAACACATTTCAATTAAAATAGACTTTTTAATACATCATTTAAATTGAAAGCATTTTTGCCTTAGTAAACATAGTATTTTTCTGATCCTTGGTTTTTCTTTTCTTCCCTTTTTCATTGCTCATTGTTACGAAACGAATAAATGAATTCACACAATACGCAGACGCAATGCCACATGTTCGAAATCTATGGGACGAGGACAAAGTGGAAAAAACGCTTCAATACATTTTTGAAATATTTCGTTGTTGTTTTTTTATCGCAAGTATTACTTGCAATTTCGCTCAATATCTTTATGAACCACAATGATATGGAGCTATCAATCAAAAGCAATTATCCACCTGTTTTCTAATTTTCTAAACGCCTGCCACAGTAAATGACACAAATTAAAATCAAAATCCTGACTTTGTGCACCCCTTGGCAAAGATGCTACATGCTTACATATAAATAATGTATTATTCGTTAGAGAATTTTAGTTTTAGCTCTTAAACTTAAACTGTATATGTCTCGTATATATATGTATGTGTATGAATGTAAATTCAGATCTAGATTTATTTTAGTGTAAAACTATTTTATGCCATCGAATGTTTTTTTTTCAATTTAGTTTTTTCTATTGTAAAATTTTCAATCATGCATATAAAACATTATTTTCAAATGTTAACAAAGAAAGCCAAAAGAACGCAATTTTTATTTGTATATAATTAGAAGTAAAAAAAAAAAAAATCAGCCCAAGTCGCTAAGCAGCTGTGATGTCCCTACTGCAAATAATCAAAACTTATTTAAGACATTATTTTGATATTACTAAGGCAGCACATTGGATATTCTATTTTTATTTCATATATATAGAACCCATTTACGGCATTTAACTCACCATTTTGCATAGATTTGCAAAGCACTAAGCTGTAAATCTTAGTTCTGAGTAAAAAAAAATAATAATAATTAGTTAATGGTTGCCATACGCTTCCCATAAAATTTTATTTAGAAATATTTAATTCCATTTTTTTTAATTTTAACCAAAAAAAAAAACAAAAAAAAAACAAAAAATTCACATTTTGTGCACTCTATTATTTTCTCAATTTCTATCTGACCGCTAACTACTAACGGTCGCACTTTTTGTCCCCCGTATAAATTTCGCACACCTCGTCACTTCGTCCTTTCACCTCTGCACCATGTTTGCTTTACGTTTTTTCCACGCCACTGCGCCAACTATACAACTATATACACAACAGAAAGCGCTCTATAACGATGAAGTAACGAAAATGAAAGGCAAACAAGATCGTGAAGTCAGCACACTGCGCAATGAAATTGAAATGTTTAAAGCACAGGTAAGAAGGAAATAATTCTTAAATTCTTAGACTTTTTTTTTTATAAAATTTCTTTTAAATTATTACAATTAAATTTGTACTTTCTGTAGAATAACAAATACGAGGAGCATATACGAAAACTCTCCAATCAAATAGTGCGTCTTAACGATCAATCATTGAAATATCAAAAGGAAATTGCTCTATTGTCGACAAAAGTTAAGCAATTAGAAGATGACGATAATGCTCACTTCAAACGTCCCAATTTCGGTACAAATTCACTGCCCAGATCATTGACAGCGTTGACATCGAATGCAGGTTTAAGTTCGAATTTGGCTATGGAGGATGAGGAGGGTGAAGTTTTCAATAATACCTATCTGACCGATTTGCAAACGGGACGCATGTCGATGTGTCGTGAGGTTTGGTAAGTGTGCAATGGAGAAATGTAGTAAAAATGTGAAAAAAATTGATCACTCTGTAAAATAATTGGTTGTAGAGAAATATTATTTTAATGAGCAGTTATAGTTATAGTTTGTGAACATACCATATGGCAAGTGTAGAAAATAATATTATTGAGAAAATCATTTCTTAATTTTTTAAACAGTCAGAAACAAAGTTTATAAAAAAAAGGTTACATCAACGCGCTAACTTCGTTATATTTACAGTGTGCGAGAGTTTATATTTGTAGAAAAAAAATAATTTTTTTGTTTAAAAATTCAATATTATGTTTAAAAATTAAATATGGGGAAATTTTTCTTCTTCAGAAAAAATACAAAATATATAATAAATTATTATTTTAAAATAATATACTTTCTTCTTACATACATATTATATATCAAACTATCCGATGAAATCATGTTTTATTCAAACCAAATATTCTTAAAATGCAATTAAATAACTTTGATGTGCTCACGTAAGTTAATGAACACTCATGGTCGAAGACAGCACTTCTTTTTTTGTGTTTTGTCAAATTAACCGTTACCTAAATAAAACATTGCCTACATTTCGGCGTTCATTAGATTTAATTTATTAACGATTTAAAAATTTATTATTTGGTGAAATTTTTGTAAGATTTTTCAATTAATCTTAATATCAAAATTATAAGCTTTCAGCTCAAAAACTTTGTGATTGAATTTTCTTTTATGAATTATGCTGATTAACGAAAATGTATATATATAATTGGCGCTTGTAACCGGCCGAGCTCCTTTTCCAATTTGTGGTTTTGCATCTTGGTGTTTTACCAATAAAATGGAGGGACCTACAGTTTATACTAAGCCGTCTCCGAACTGTTGATGGTTTTTTTACGAGGAGCCTTTATTTTATATCCGAAATACACTCGGAGGAGTGGACATTCTCTATCAAGAAATTAAAATTAGAAAATTTAACTTATATTTTTTTTTTAAATTAATTGTCCATAACTTTTGGATGTTGGTGGATTCGAACCCGAGCCTTCAGAGTATCAGTACGCAATGCTAACCACTCGGCTACCGCGGCCGCCAATTAACGAAAATGCTATATAAAAACAATATATTTGTTTTTAGATATTTGAAGATTAAAACATATTTGTTCGACATGAGACGACTATTCAGCAGGGAAAATGTTAATGATTTTAAAAAATTTCATGCAAGTTTTTAGCATTTTATAATCAAAGTATTACGTTTTTTTAAGGATAAAATTAAACAAATTTATTTTAAAATTTTCGACAACCCGCAAAATCGAACCAACGTCATCATTAAACGTATGATTTTGCTCTTGTCGTAATCTCCTATTCTACAAACCTTGTGTCAGCAGTATAGTAAAAATTAAATAACGAAAATTTATATATTTTTTTTTAAAGCAATAAAAGCTTTTAAAATGTTTATATAAAACTATTTTCTTATTCAGCTCTGATGTTCAAATTTTCACATGGAAATCATTGACAATATTAAATTTATCATATTTATAATATCAATTTAAACGTTCTCCAACAATGCTCTCTCGCCAGCGCTTATACAATATTATAGTATTTCATTTTTAAATATGTGGCAACTCTCCTGAAAGTTGTTTTTTGTCTCTGTAAGTCTTCCTGGGAGACTTAGATTGATACTCATATTGTAGTTTTTCATTTACTTTGCAACTGCCTTGAAAAAAATATTTATTTAATTTTATTATTATTTTGTAATTAAAAATTTGAGACTAGTGGACACTACTGTAAATTTTTTAAACTTTTTTTTTTGCATACATGACATTTCCATTTTATATTGATTGTTATTTATTTTTTCCTAACAACTGGCAACTCCTTAATTTCTTAGACCCTCTCAGTTTAGTCAGTATATAAATTTTTTAATTATATTTTATATATATATACCTCTTCTTATATACATAATATACTCTTTTGTGAAGGAAAAAAATTTTGAGATAAATGTGAGAATACCTGACCGTAGCGCCAATTAGCGAATGAATTTTTCGTCGGAGTGTTTTTTTCTACTATTTATTCATCATTAGGGAAATGAGTTATAAAATTTAGTTTTGATTTAATTCTGTACTCTATAAAAAATTTTTTTTTATATACATACATATGTATGTTCGTAAGCAATTTTTGCTGATGAAAAGTTTCCGAATTAATGTTTTAACAAAATTACGGATTTGGAATATATACTCCAGTTTAATATTATTTTATAATTTTTTATTTTTCTATATTTTTTTTTAGTCATTTATTTATTTTTTATTTTTCCTTCATTTACAATATGTCTTTTCATTTTTATTTTTTCATTTTTTTTATTTTTTTTTAAATTTTTTTTTAATTTTTTTTTTTAATTTTTTTTAATTTTTTTTTTTATTTTTTTTGAATTTTTTTTTTTAATTTTTAATTTTTTTTTAATTTTTATTTTTTTTTTAATTTTTAATTTTTTTTTTTTAATTTTATCTTTTTTAATATCTCTTAATTTTTTAATTTTTTTTTATTTCATATATAAAATGGTTGTAATTCTATCAAAATAATCCAACGTTTATAGTAAGACAAACAATGTTTTTTTTTTTTGAATTTTTTTTTATTTTCCCATTTTTTTAATTCTATTTTTTTAATTTTTTTATTCCTATTTTCTATAAATTTTTTTTTTTCATATTTTAAAATTTTTTTTTTCACTTTCATATATAATATAAAATGGTTGTAAATCTATCGAAATGATATAGTAAGACAAAAAAAGTTTTTTTATTTTAATATAATTTTAAGACTAAAACTTTAAAATCTTAGTTAGTATGTGCGATTTGTCAAATATCAAACAGTTTTAGTACTTCTAGATGTTGTATTTGTTAAATTATTATTTTTTTGAAAATTGTTAATTGTCTTCAAAATATATGCATATGCATACATATGTACATATTATTATATACATGTATTTTATTTATTTATTTTATTGTTTAAGATAAGTACTAATTTTTCATTAAAAATAAAATAAAATAAAATAAAATTAAAATAACTACTAATCTCCTATTTCTCTTCACACTTTCAGCGCCGAGGAATTGCAATATCGAAATTCTTTAGTACCGCCACATTTGAAAAGCACCTATGCCGCCCAATACGATCACTGTTTAGCCGATGACGATATGAAAGTAAGCACTAGCAACAAAAGCACGAAGCCGATTCAAGATAAAACACCCTCAGAGGGAGAAACAACAGTGACAACATCCAAAGAAGTATCGCATCCGAAAATTTCGAAAATTTTACACTTTTACAAAACAAATAAATCGAAATGAAAATTTGCAAGTGAACGATGGAAAATGCATAATTGCATACATTGATAGAAAAAAAGTTGAATTGCAATATAAATTATACTAAAAATGACAAAAATGTATTTCAAAGCATTTGCAGCATGACAATTTTCAACATACAAACGATAATTACAAAATATTGAACGACCATAGCGCAGTTAAGGCAAGGAAATCTATTCTTCGCGCGCTAAAAATTTGTATATATCACATACACATACATACATGCCTAAATAAATATAAATATAAATTGTAAGAACTCACTTTTGACTTCCATTTTTTTTTTTTTTTGCAAAGAAATTGCGTTTATTGGCTTGATGTATAAATTTTCAATTAAATTATTAGATTTGTTAAAGAAAACATTGTAATTGTTTATATATATATATGCACATTTCGTGCTTGTTATGTAATTGTTTGTGTCATTCGTGTTTTGTGCATTGTTTCAACGTTCAAAGAGAAATTATTGTAAAAAATGTTGTTGGTGTATATTATGCGTACTTGTTGTTCTAAATGTTTGTACACTTATCATCGGTCTTCAGTGCGTGCGTTTGTGCTGTCTGTTTGCATAGCAGCGTATAGAAAAATATAAAAATTACATAAATTTCAATTTATTACAAAAAATATATATGTATATAATACTTTCTATTTTTTATTTACTCCTCTCCTCCACCACTTTAGGATGGCGGCCCTCACAGTTTGGATGACAGCATGAGCGCATTACTCAGCACAACAGGTGGCGGTGTTGGTGGTGCACGCAAAAAACTCACTGGCATTACCAATTACAAGCGTCCGGGTCCGCCAACACCGAGCAAGCATGGCGGTCGTCTGTCGTTGGGTGGCTGCTCGGAACCGCCACGTGAAATACTCAAAGAAGTGAATGATCATGGCGGCAGCTCTGCGAAGACACCGGTGCGATTTGGCTTTTTCTCATCGAGATTTAGCATGGGCAATAGCAATCCAAAGGATGAGGTGAGTTCCAATGGGCTTTATTTCATTTTATTTATTTACTTTTCAATATTCAAATATGAGTTTGAGTGTTTATAAGTGTCAAATTTGTTTAAAATATTGCTAATTTTTGTTGTTGAAGTGTTAAGTTTGCTTTTATGTTGGTTTTGACACTGGCCCCTGGCATATTTGAAATAAAAAAAAATCTTTTGTGAAAATATTCTAAGAAATTCCATAAATTTATGAGTTAAGTGAAGGTAGCAATTATTTAAAATTTCATAAATAAAAAGCAAATAACTAAAGCGCATTATTGAAAATTAAAAAAAAAATTATATAATTCCTTAGAGAGCAAATATCAAATATCAAAGTCTTAAGTAAACTAAAACTATTTAATAACAATTAATTCCAACAATAATAATCGCTAAAGATGTTTTGGATTTTCATAGACCTTAAGAATCCTTTTCACATCATATATTGGCGCAGTAAAAAGAAATCCATTATTTCTTGCATAAAATTTACTGGTTTAATTTTTTACACTTCGTATCCAACCATATTCAAATGGTTTCAAACGTTTTTTTGTGCAATCTTTAGCTCTTGGGCAATCCAAAAAGTGCTTACATGACGATTGGACTCGGCAATGTCCATGATTTTTATTGACATTTTCAACGATTTGCCTTCCATTCCGTGAAGCATTTTTTACATCAAAATTACCGGAATGAAACCGAAATTGTGCATGATTGACTGTAACAGTATCAAGACCATTTATTGTAAAATATAGCGCATTTTCTCTTTGCTCGGGTCCATTTTTGACAAGCGTTCAAAGAAAACTAGATCAACCAATCGCAAAACTGGCAGCAAATCATTTTTTGGTACGAAATGTCACCTTTCTAACGCCATCTAGCGGAACCCGATCAGACTTATAGGACGCGCCTTCTATTGCAAAAATAATGTATTATGAGAAATTGGCGCTTTGTAACCGCTGAAGCGATTTTCCGTCGAGCTCCTCCTACAATTTGTGTAGGCAAGAGTCTTGTTTTTTTTCCAAGAAATGGAAATGGACAGTCCCTGCTGAGGGGCGACCGTAATCAGAAAATTTAGTTTAATTTTTTTTTTTAATAAAAACTTTTGGATGTTGGTGGAACGGAGATTTGAGCCCGAGTCTTCCGAATGGCAGTATGCAATGCTAACCACTCGGCTACAGTGGCCCCGGATTTCTTACTCTGCACCTACCTAATATTAGAAGCGATAAAATAATAATTCTTTGAACTCCATTATAAAGATCTAGTAAAAAGAAATCCATTATTTTCTTTTTGATTTCTTTACCATAGTTCCAATTAACCGAATAATGCCAAAAATGCACCGTTCCGCTGTTTTTGAGATTTCGAAGATAAAGTCATTATGCCTCTTTCATAGAAATCCTTGTCACTAATGGCAAAAAAGTGGGAAATCGGTATTCACAGGCTTCTCTTTAGATAAATTTTTCATCAGCCAAATCATTAGCCTACCAAGCTCTGGGTGTTTCCGGCGAGTTACTACCGATGTTTTTTTTGTTTTTTTTTGTCTGGCGTTGATCTAATGAAACACATCTGTTGGCCAAAGCTGTGGTGCTTCTGGGCGATTGCCACCTTCAGACGGTTGAATTGCTGGCCGTGCAGGTCCGAATGAATAGTTTGGCTTCAGGAAAGCAGCACATAAGAGACGATTCCTTGCCAATCCCATCAAAAGCACAACAAACCCAGTTTGGCCGGCCATCTTGGCTTGGAGACCGCATACGTCGGCTTATTGCTCTACGACCACGGCAGTTTTGTTACGCTTCATCAGCGATTCATTGACTCATATCACACCAATCAATCGAACGTCTTTTTGTGTAACCAACCTTATTTGTCAATTAAAAAAATGGTTTTCACCTCACCGAGTTGCGGGTTCAAGAATTTATCGGCGAAAAGGCATGTCTGTCGTAAGAAGCGATTAAGTTTCAATAGTTCCCACTAGAGTGGGATCTATATATCAGAACGACCTGGATTTTTAGCTGGCAAAGGACTACCACTAAAATCACTTGATGAATACTTTCACGGTTCGAAAAATAACAACAGCAGTGCTTTTATAGAATAATTCTATTAGGATTCTAATAGACAGCTAATTAAGATAATTAATTGGCTCTTTTTTTCAGACATCAAAAAATTAAATTTTGTCTGAAGCAGTAAAGCATAGAGAAATACTTCCAATGTTGGACGTGCCACAAAATTACTGCGAATACAGCCTGGCCAAACTGTTACTTGGTCTAAGCCAAAGGGAACTCTGTATTTTTGTAAGTGGCAAGTAAGGCAATGAAGACTTCGGAGAGACTATACTCATAGCGAATAGCGGGCTTTGAGCTCAAAGAATGAGAAAAACGAGATAGTACAGGTTCAGACTGATGGTACAAGCTTAGATTCTTGAATCACAGTTCTTAAGAAGTTTGAATTCGTTCTAATAAAACCTGCAGATTTCTGCTTATTTTATTTAGTTTCTTTATTCATAAAGGCCTCTAGAGTCTCTCGCTTGAGAGTTTTAATTCGATTGAACTAATTTTATCATAGTTTTTCGTTAAAATTTGAACCTTTTGCTATTGGGTTGCCCCAAAAGAAATCGGCGAATTTTCATACAGACGGTTTGACAATTTTTTGAACAGCTTTTGACAGTTATAAGCTGTCACTTTAAGTTTGCTTTAGAAAAAACGTTTTTTGTTTATTTTTGTTTTTTTTTGGCGTCAATTTTAATTTGGAGCCCACAAAGGAGCATTTTCGTCATATTTTACTTTATTATTTCCTTAAAGGAAAAAATGCAGCGCAGGTTGTTAAAAATTTATATAATTTGTATGGTGATGTGGCCTTAAAAAAAACTTAGTGCCGAAGTTGGTTTGTCAAATTCCGTTTGGGAGATTTTGCACTCAAAGATAAGTCACGCTCAGGTCGGCCAAGTGAATTTGATGATGACCTTATCAAGGCAGTAATCGAATCGTATCGTCATGTAACTGAGCCTGAGAATGAACAGAAGTTAAGACTACAAAAAATAACAGTCAATAATCATATAAGACTTCTTGGACTGGTTAAAAAAAGTTGGTTTTTGGGTAACACATGAATTGAAAGAAATTCATTTAATAAGCCGCTGCAACGCTTGTGGTATGCATCTTAAACGCAATGAATATGATCCGATGGAGATGAAAAATGGATTGTTAGCAATAACGTCCAAGCATAATAAAGCGCCACAAGCCACTTTAAAGGCTGATATTCACCAAAAGATGTTTATGCTGTCAGCTTGGTGGAGCTTGGAAGCGTGTGGTATTTTTTGAGCTGCTTCCAAGGAACCAAACGATTAATTCGGTTGTCTACTGTTAACAGCCGGACAAATTAAATGCATCCATCAACGAGAAGCGACCAGAATGGGACAAATTTACGGTCGAATTCCACCAGGACAATGCTTGACCGCACTTTAGGCACTCGCCAAAAACTGAGAGAGAGCTTGGTTGGGAGTTGTTGATGCATTCACCATGTAGCCCTGACCTTGCAACGTCAGACTACCATTTGTTTCGATCTTTGCCGCATGATGAATCGTTCGAAAATGGCGGGCTTATAAAATCGCTCTCGGTACAGCCTTTTGCAGATGAAGGCCGGCAGTTCTATGAGCGTGGAATAATAATGTTGCCGGAAAAATAGAAATTATATAATTGATTAAAGTTCATTAAAAAATTAAGAAAAATGTATTTGCTTTCTTTTAAAAAATCGCCGGTTTCTATTAAGGCAATCCAATATTTTTCGGTCACGGCCTGTTCGGAAATGGTTTGCCATTAGGGTTGTAAGGATAAATGAGGCGACAGTTCACAATTGAGCATATCCAGCCACACAGAAAGTATTTTGCGGAAATGACAGTCTTTGGCCGGATAAATATCCAGGTAGTTACGATATAAGGACCCGACCGTCGCGGGAACTATTGGATTTTTATCGCCTCTTACGACAGATATGCCTTAATCCTTCTTAAATTCTTGAGTCTCCAATCCGCAGGCTGGCACCGAAAGTGTAATCTTCCGCGGTGAATATCGGCGATTCATTTTGCTTGGTCCATGATCATTTTCTAACCACTTATGTTCTATTTTGATTACAGAGTAGCAGCATATGTTTATGCGTTTGAAGTATTTTTGAAATTCCTTTTTAAAAAGCTGTTGACATTCTTGAATTTTTGTGATTCTCTTTGTCTGTTTGTTCGGTGTTTGTTTGTTGTTATTGTTGGTGTCGTCCATTTGTTGTGGATGTCTGTCCTAAGCACGTAAAATTGTCGTTGCTGTAGTATTGTTGTTGCTTCATTACTAGTTGTTGTGGAGAGTGTTGCCAGCTGTTTTCGTTCCTTGAATTAAAATACAATTTTTCTAATTCCATTTATTTCTTTACCCACACGAACTTAACACACGAACAACAACTACAACAAAAAATTAATTACATCAGACTTCCAAAATTCCCGTCAATCTTCTAAAAGCTGTTCAAAAGAAGAACCTTCAAGCGATGTGCACGAAAAGTTCTGACAACATCTGCACCTCCACGCCGCGCAAAAGCAGATCTCATTTTGATCGTCGTAGTCTACTAAATGAATTCATGACGCTATCCACCACATCGATGTTTTCGCTGACAGTCGAAAAGTGTCCGACAACACACGCGGCGTGCGAAAAACAGCCCACAGCGCCCACACTCTCGTTGGCCGATGTGTCGGCGATCAACCGATTGCCGTTGTCACAATCGCATTTGAAAATGTTGGAGCAGCAACGCGTATCGCGCAAGAGACGCAGCTCGTTGTTGCGTCTACAAATCAATCGTCGTCTCAAACACTTGCCAGTGACTAGTAGTCCACGTTCAACGGAAACACCCTCCACGGGCACGCCAAATACGCCGGCGTGTGAAAGAAAGAAACCACTGCTGCCACTAATGGAATCCGACGATCAGCGCGGCCGCATTGCCGTCACCAACGGCAGCGACGGCACAACGACCACGACAGCGACTTCGGCGACGGCCACCACTACGACTGCTAGCTCTGGCGATGCGCTGGGGCGTGGCAGTAGTATCGGTGGACGTCATCGTCGTCATCGCCACAGCCGACGTGATCGGGGGCCGCGGCTCTCATTGTACGCCAGTGGTGGCAGTGGTTTTCGAACGCCAAATCGCAACAAATTGCGCGAACAGATGCGTAAGAAGGCGCACAAACAGCGCCGCGACAATTACAATCGTGGACGCGCATTACAAGTCGACAAGCGTTCGCAAGGTGGCGGCCAGACTAACGATAGTTTGCGTGAAAGTGAAGATAACAATGACAACAACAACAACAGTCATACCATACGCCTGAATGCCACAATCGTTTTGTCGAAGAAATGCGAACACCCAGAAGAGTATGACATACCGGAGTACACATCGAATTATTTCACCGATCTAGTCGCCAGCACGACGGCACCGATCGAAGAGAACAGCGCTGAGTGCATTGTAGAAGATCACGGCTACGACACACACGCCACACAAATAGCATTAGTTGAGAAAACAAAATGTAATCTAAAGGAAAATGTAGAGAAGAGCAGCGGTACTGAGACATCCAGCAATAGTGCAAATGGGGAATGTGACGCCAATGGCAATGCAAGTGACTCGTGTAGCGATGAAAGCAATACATCAAACTCAAATTCTTCGCTACCCGTTGAACGCAGCCTCAAAGATGAGCCGGTCGATACGCCAGTAACTGCAGATGAGCTCCAAAGATTCGATGCTCGGCACAAACGCTTCGAACAGTTGGCGGCTGAGACCTCCTCTGCAGCGCCCTTCGCTGTAACTAACTTTGAATTCGATGATGTTGTAGCCATAACACCGTTGAAGAGGCACTCGGATTGCAAACGGCATTCAATCACTTACACGCTGCTGCCCAAATGTGCCACAAAAGTCACGCTGACGTCGAATTTGGAATTCCACACACCGCACGTAAGAGCGCTCAAGGCACTCGGCGATAAAGATGGCTGCGATGTACAGATTACGTTGGCGGATGTGGTTCGTCTGTGGTCCAGCATTTGGGCGCGCTTGGATCAACAGCTGCAGTTGACTATCAGCATAGCGGTTTTTGCGCCCATCATAGCGATGATCTACTTGGTCTTCTCACTATATGTGTAATTAGGTTTACTAAATTTTGGAAATCTCTTTTTCCTACTCGTCTGAAGCACCGTAAATGGAGTCTTGAAGATTTATTTGTCTACTTCAATGGAAAAAAAGATTATTTTTCATGCATTTTTTTGTTTGTTTTTGTTGTATCAATACTCGATTGTGTTTCTATGTCAACCGCTATTCATAAACCGTTTGTGCGATACAACAGCAGCAACGTTTTGAATTTAAGCTGCCTTTGAGATGTGAAACTTTCATGGGAACATTTGAAAGTTTTCCGAAAAAAATACAACACAAAAAAAATCGATCAAAATATTAATGTCTTCTAAATTAATGTTGCCCGTAAAAAATATTTATTTGGCACAATTTCATTGTGACTTATTTATTTAAAAAAAAAAAAAATGAAATATTTTTTGTTCCATTTATTATGTCCTTATCTCGTCCAGATAGCATTGATTTGCTCTGTGGAGAGCGAAATACCATGCAACAACCCGCATTTCTTTTTTTTTTTTTTTTTTTTGATACTGATAACTGTTTGATCAGAAATTTACAATTTGCTTAGAGCAAAATCGCTATGTATTTCTAAAATGATTGATGATCGTGCTCAATAAAATTCGAAAGTAAAATTAAAGAAAATGTTTATTTATTGCTTACGAGATGGATCCGAAAAGGGTTAGTCTTATGCTGCCAGTGGCCTTATATCCTTCAGGGAAAGCAGCTAATTTTATTTTTGGTTCTAAAATATTTACCTCATGTGTGATTGAAACACAGCCTGGAAGCAGTTGATCGATTTGGTAGATGTTAAGATAAAAAAATAATTTCAATGAAATAATTTTACCCAAAAAGCATTAAGGACAAATCGACTTGTTCAGGAATTACATGGATTTCACAGCTTCGAAAAATCGAATTTTTATAACTTTCATGTACATAAAATGGTATACAGGGGATTGACAAAAGTTCGGTAAGTTGACCAGAAAAAAAAAAAACAAAAAAAAACTTTTGGTATTTATTCGTAATCTCTGTCCTTTTTTATCTTCTTTAAATCGGCGACCGCATTAGCCGAGTGGTTGACATTGCGTATTGGCATTCGGAAGACTCGGGCTCAAATGTCAACCCCTCCGAGTGTATTTCTGACATGCAATAAAGCTCCTCATAAAAAAACCCTCAGCCGTTCGGAGGCGGATTAGTATAAACTGTAGGTCCCTCCATTTATTGGAAAAACATCAAGATGCAAAACCACAAATTAGAGGAGGAGCTCGAAAAATCGCTTCAGCGGTTAAAAAGCACCAATTATATATATATATATAAATAATAGCCATTGATTTCAATGTATTTCTTAAGCCTATGGATCCACTTCTGAAAACAGTCTGCAAAATCTTACTTTTTAAGCTTATCAAGTTCAGCATTAACTAACTACTCGTTGCTGTTGAAGACTTTTCCTTTCAATTTATTTTTTAATTTTTGGAAATAACCAGAAATCACAAGGTGCTTTATGCGGGGAGTATGGTGCTGGACTTAGTTCTTCGACCCCAGAGATTGCAATAAAACTGCTCGTTATTTCAGCTGTGTGGGATGCCGCGTTGTCATGATATAATAAGGAGCCGCAAATCTTCTTTCTTTCTGTTTTCCAACGAGTTTTTGAAAACTCTTGGTAAACGCTCTTCGGTGTACCATTTTGCAGTTACCGCCTGACCCCTTTCCGGTAGAATAGCAGCTACGACTTTAGATCTGGTGAAGTAAACTGACATGATAACTTTTGCTGCTGGTTTTTGTCGCTTCGATTTTACGGGTGGGTTGGCTCCTGTTGGGCTCTATACCATGGACTGCTGTTCGTACTTATAGAACCAAGATTTGTCACCAGTAATAAGTTTATTAAAGTTGCTAGACTGACCATTTACGAATTTGTTTAGGAAAAATTGAACAAAATGCACTGGAGTCTCTTTTTGGGCCTCATTTAAAATTCGTGGTACCCATTGAGCGGATTTCTTTGTGTACCCCAGATGATTACTAAATATTCGCGGCACAACCATGGCATTCAAGCCCAATTCATTAGCAATCATTTCTTTTGGCAATCGTGGTACTTCGTCTATTTCGGACTTGACCAGAGCTACGGTGAGGTCATCAGTGAAAGATTTTAGTCGATCTTCTCGGGGATCATCCTCTACGGAGAAATGTCCGGTCTAAAATCTTCGGAACCACTTAAAAAATAGTCTTTAAAGACTTTACAATCGTTCCATATGCAACTTTCTATTCACTGAATATTTGTCTTGGCTCTAAATAACGCCGAAACTCGATGAGAATCACATGGCGAATTTCTGTCTGCGCTGGGGTGGAATTTCGTCTAACCTATCCTCAGCTGTCTTGCGTTTTCTCGTCTTCATTTTAGCCGATTGTTCCAAAATTTAAAAGGAAGACTAAAAATTTTATTGCAAAAAATTTGATATTTACAAAATTGGTATATGAAAGTCAACAAGTGACCGAGCTTGTTTTAATCCCTCCGTATAAACTTTGATTCGAAGTGGGAGAAGCGACAGACCCATCAAAATTTATACCCATCGTGAAGGAAAACAATTCGGCCTCTGTTCATCAAAGATGGCCTCTTCTGGATCAATACTACCTTCAAGCTGTCCACTTGTTGGCAGTAGAGGGTCGAACAGAGCATTTGGCCAAAGGGTAGTAGCTCATAGTAGATGATTCTTTGGCAATCCCACCAAGCACAAAGCAAAACTAACCTTCCTCGCCGTCAATCCGGTCTTGGCCACTGTCTGGGCCGCTTCCTCGAGCTTTGACCACGGCCGCTTGCGCTCGATGTTGTCGTAAGTGACCCATTTTTCATCATCGCCAGTCACAGTCCGCTTTAGAAACGGGTTGATATTGTGTCGATTCAGCAGCGATTCGCAGATGGAAATTCGGTCCGTTATGTTTTTTTTTTGTTAGCTTGTGTGGCACCCAAACATCGAGCTTCTTTTTGAGTCCAAGGCTGTGCAAATGGTCCCAAACGGTTCTCTGGCTTATCTTTAGTTCCTCAGCAATTAAATAAGTGCTCACGTGACAGTCTGTTTCCACTATTCCCATGATTTTATCGCAATTTTCGACGACAGGCCTTCCGTCCGACGCGTGGTGCAGCTTTGACATCGAAATTATCGGAACGGAAACTAGCAAACCACTTTTGTGCTACACGTTCGTTTACAATATCGGGTCCATAAAATAAATTAAGTTTTTCAGTCGCTTTTTCGCCTTGATTGAAAGTGTAAAATATATCGAATTTTCTCATTGCTGGTGTCCATCTTTGACGAGCGCTCACAACGTACTAAGTCAATCAATCGCAAAACTGTCAAAGACAAACTTTTAGCGCGAATAAATACGTTTTCAGCGCCTTATAGTACGGCACGATGCGACACGTAACACTAGTATGGATGAGTGCATAAGTTCGTGCCCGATTTCAAGTGCAAACTTAAATTGAAATTTTTTGAAGAAATCGCTTTTATTAATCAATTATGTATTCGCCATCATTTTCGGCAATCCACTCCCAACGTTCAACCAATTTACGGATGCCTGATTCATAGAAATCGCGCGGTTTCTCGTTGAAAAAGTTGTCAAGGTGGTTTTTGACGTCTTCCACATTTTTAAATTTTTTTCCATTCAAATTGTTCTGCAGCGATCGAAACAAATGATAATCAGAAGGTGCAATGTCGGGTGAATATGGGGGATGCGGCATGATTTCCCAATTCATCTCCTTCAGTTTGGCCAGGGTCGGTTTTGCAACATGTGGCCTGGCGTTGTCATGATGGAAAAGAACTCCTTTGCGATTGGCCAAAATCGGACGTTTTTCATCAATTGCTTTCTTCAATTCGACCAATTGCTGACAATACTTGTTGGCAGTGATCGTTTCTCCAGCTGGCAAGAGCTCAAAATAGATCACGCCTCGGATATCCCACCAAATGCACAGCAGTACCTTCATCGGATGCAATCCACCTTTCGACATCGGTTCCGCCCCTTCGTGTGCCTGTTTCCATGTTCTTTTGCGTTGAACATTGTTGTACAGGATCCATTTTTCATCACCAGTCACGAGCCGATCCAAAAAAGGTTCGTTTTTGATCCGTCGAAGCAAAGAAATTGCTGTTGACATACGGTCCACTTTGTTTTTTTCACTCAACTGATGTGGCACCCATGTATCGAGCTTCAAAGTGTACCCAACCTTTTTTAAACGACGAAACGCAGTTGATTTGTTGACGTTCAATTCACTGGCAACCTCTTCCGTCGAAATACGTGAGTTATTCGCAACTAAAGTCCTTAGAACATCGTCATCAAGCTCAGAAGGCCGTCCACTGCGAGGTTGATCTTCGAGGTTAAAATCTCCAGAACGAAATTTCGCGAACCATTTCTTTACTGTGCGGAGTGCTGGAGCACGGTCCAAATAAACTTCGCGAATATCTTTAGTTGCAGCGCCTACTGTTTTTCCTTTGCGGAATTCGTATAACATAATATGACGCATATGATCTTTTTCGTTGTCCATCTTCCATGCGTCTTTTCACTAAGCAACTCAAATCAAAATGAAGTTATTTTATGCTTGATTTACAGTTCGGACTGTCACCTTTCCAACGATATATAATATGTATATATTTCTTACACGAGCGCTACTCTCAAACGATTCGAACGACATCCAGCGGAATCGGGCACGAACTTATGCACTCATCCAACAATGCCATCTCTTAGATGAAAACGAACGAAAACTTTTTACTTGACCTAATATAAAGGCTTCGGCATGACCGAAGATAGCTATTTCTTTTATATGCCACATTTATATGCATTTAAATAGCGTGGAATAATTGATTTCCATTTAATTTGTTTTCTCTTTGTAGAATTCTCCACCAAAAAGACGTCTCAGCAACATGTTTAAACGCAAATAGAATGGAGAACTTCAGCGATGCCATAACTGTAAGGCGCTATCCAGTCGAAAGAACGTCCATTTTAATTTTTTTTTTTTAATATTTGACATATTTAAACTTACATACATACAATGCTTTTAATATTTATTCAACATAATTTTGCTTTTTTATAATATTTATACATATGTTAACATTTAAATTGTATATGTACATATATGCATATGTAATTTTTTTCAATGTACTTACATAAGTAGATTTGTATGTACGCATATGAATTAATAAGAAGATCGACAACATTCCTCAAAACCCCCAAAAGCCTTTAGCGGTTGTTAGTGTAGAGAGGAAGGGAAATGTCAGCGGTGGAGCTAAATACAATAACTGTATTTTTATGGAAATTATTTATTAAATTGCATTTATTTTACACAATCACCGCTACTAATGCGTCAAACAAATGCACAAAAAAATTGTTTATTTACATTTAAATTGGTCTTTGTTGTTACCTGTACAATTTATATAAATATATAAACACTAATTTAGTTTAATTATTTGTAATTCTCATAATAAACATTTCAAATATTCAGGGGTGTTATAGAAACCGACACAGTATTGCTTATTTATCGGAATCGCAAATCAATATCTGTTTGAAATGGTGATTTGGCTTTTTTCGAAGATAAGCAAAACCGATATTCGAATCAGCCGTCATCACACTTGCGCAAAAGGCCCAGCAAATCAATTTAATTTT